ATAATCTGACCTACATGTACATGTAACTGCTTCATGATAAAATTATTGCTGTCTGTATTTTTGTCCCTGGTTCGAGGTGGTGGTGACAGTCAATTAATTATTTTTCTTCAGACTTTTCCCGTTTGTCTCTTTCCCTCAAACCAGTTAATGTATTTTTGTTGTAGCAATTTTGCTATTATAATCATGTACATCTATTATGTTGGTCATGATTTGATGGTTGACTTTCTCGTTTTCTTTGTTTGCCTTCTCTGGTTTTTCTGTTGTCTGGGTTGCTGGATGAGTTGGGTTAACGGTGCTGCTTGGATGGTGTCTGCGGATGCGGGTTTACTCTTTGTTTTGGTATTCCCTAGTTGACTTGGTTCTTTCCTTTTCTTTCTAATTGGATTTCCTATTTTATTTTATAGAAAAGAACTGCTGCTTGTTTCCGCTGCTTATTGTCCATCTAAATTGTCATAGTCGAAGTAGAGTGCTGTTTTACTGAGGCGTTCGGTTTAGCATGATTCTTGTTCGCATAGCTTCCCCTTTTATCGATCTTCGCATCTTTGAGCCACGCAAGTTGTGTGGAATGTTGCTTTGCGTCCTTGAATCGTGGTTTGACCGTATTGTCCAATGGTCTTGCCAGTATCTTCATCGACATGCATGAACATCCGCCAACGTCCTTCATACGCTGTGCTTGTCTTGGTTGCGCTCACTTTCCCGTCTTATGTTATTATAAGTTAGAACCTTCCAAGTTGGAAGGATGTTGGAGTGCGCATCCAAGATGTGCTAGAACTGTTGGTGTTATCCAGTTAGTTGTAGAACGTCAGTACCGTCGGTCAGTGTCGTGCAATGTTATCGCATGAGCTGATTGTTTAGTACCTGGTGGTGTTAGTGGACATTATAGCTAGGGTAACTTGTAGTTCCTTGGTCCTTTTTCTTTTCTATAAATTAATCCTTGGCTCTCCATCCGAGTCCATCCTATTTATTTGATTTGATTTTTCCTATTTACTTGACTGGATTTGTCGCCATTGCCTTCTTTGCTGCAAGTGCGCTCTTCGAATTCTTCATCCCGTGCATTACCCAGTTTCCGACACCCAGTTCGTTTTCAAATAAAGGCAAACTGATCACCAGATCTACATGTACATGGTGGATCTACATGTACCGGTATTAGTGTTATAGTACTAGTACTCGTAGTTCTTGGTTCCTCTTTTCCTTGCTAGCCGTGGTTGCCTATAATAATCCTGCAATCTCCACGCAAAGTGATCATTGACTACACCAGCCATGTATTACTTGTACTTGGAAGAAAACTACTAAACTAAACTAAACTCTATGATGGGGAGTCGTGCACCAATCTGCAATGGTACGAAGGGGCTCTGCTCTATGCCTAGAGAGAGGGCTACGATTCCACGATGCCATGACTAATGCCTTGGAAGTGATAGCGGCCAGCATTATGTGGATTGATTGGTACATGTACTGGTAGATGGCATGGCCGCCAAGTATGTATTTGTTCTGTCGATCATGGACAAAGGAAGCAACTCATCACCAATGATTACCACCTTGTTGCAAAGTGTCTTCATCAGTGTTTCCAGTCTTTCATTGCACATGGGAATGAGCATGGTGGAGATTGGTCGAGAGCACTGCACATGTGTCGTAAAATACCGACAGCACCACTGTCACAGTGCTGTGTCGGTAGTCGGGCACCCGTAGCTCAAAGGCACTCTAGTCCTGCAACATACGATTACGAGTGCCTTGCAGGGCAGGCTGTTTTCGCAGAGTTCCAGTTTTGGAACGGACAACAACAACAACGCGTGCCAGTATGGTGCATGCCGGCAGAGTCCACTCGTACACCATGATACACGGTTTTATGATTGCCCCTGAAGTCATTGTCATTCATCATTGGAAATGTAATACTTTCTAAATAGACCGACGTTTTGCATACGAACAACTGGACAATAACGATACTATTTAAAATACTGCTATAAATTATGATTATGTACCTGTACATGTATTAGCAGCCTGCGTCTGTCAAGACTAAGGGTCAGTAAGGACAACAATTACATGGCCACTGCATGTGCATATGGCTTGCTGTGCGGTCCCGGTGGCGGCCATACAAAGTCATGCAGGCACTGTAGTAAGTGTACTAGTAACCCTACTAGAGTCGTGTTTCCAGTTTCCATCCTGTTCTCACATTTTGTCGAATAAAATTATTAATATTATGTTGTGTCAAGAACCCTACTCGAGTATACTAGTAGTACCCTGTCATGGGTCTCATTTTAGTTTTTTCAATCTCTTGGACATGATTGTAGGTGAGGCAGTGATCCCAGGACACTGATCATCTACTTTGCCAGTCTTTGGTTGTTATTAGTGTCAGGTTGTTTGTTTGTTAAGATTTACATGTATACTTGGTTTTTTACCCGATTCTTGTAATCCCTCCATATTTGTCAGGAAGCTACATGACTTTTGAATTTATGATAGTTTTGTATTTTATTGTATTACTATTTACCGTAGTACTTCAAAGCCGTAATACTGACTGCACGGTACTTGTACTAGTATTCATAATCCTGCAGTGGCATTGCATTGACTGATAGTATCATGACTATTATCCTCCCCACAGACGTCGGAACGAGTGGTTGCATTTGCAATCGAACTCCGAGTTTCACACTGTTTATGTTTAGTACTTGTGTATTAAGTTGTAAAGAACCGCTGCATATACATGTGTACTGTCTGATGAGCGTGGCCGTGGCATGGCTGATCATTCCGCTATAATATAATGTAGATACACCTACACGGTCATGTGGCCGTATTTCGTGCAAGCTGCTGTTGCGAGCAACATGCTCGAATCAGATGGCACTATTGTGCGGTGAAGAGTCACCCTTCTATGATGGCGGTGGCGAGAAGGTGAATAGAATTAACGGCTGATTACCATGAAATATGTCCCTATCATCCTCGATTATGAGGCTTTGTCTGTTGCTGGTATACCACTAGCGGCACTAACGTTAGTAGTAGTCCGTGCTCTGCGTGCCAGGCGCCAGGGCGTGCGCGTACAAGGTCCCATTCAGTCTATCATCTGACTGCAAGACATTCTGATTGTGGCATGGAACATGAGCGTACTGTTCTAGAAGAGAAATACCAGGCATTTGCATTCGTAACGAGTAGACGGGTGGCTTTGGCATGCCTCCTCCTCCACCCAGACATCCGTGCTGTGCATGCGTGCATGGCTACCAGTCACAACAACGTGCGATTATAATGCACCTACGAAGACGTGTCCGTCTCTCCCTCCTTCTCCATCTACATGTACTACTGGACTGTACCAATTTGTTAGATTGACAGCATGAAACTGTACCAGTAGGGCAGTAGTACATGTACTACTCGTACTGACCACTACTGGTCAGTCTGTACCAATATACATAGTAACATATCAGTTAGAAGAGAAGGTTCAAGAACCTCAGTCTACAGTTATACAGTGATGCTACAGCTGCTTTCTTGGCCATTCTCTCTATGTCAAGAAGGATCTGCATCCGGGACTGATGTGCAACGTTATGCAGCACTCACAGTCTCGAGCTGCCACAACTCGCTTCGATCAAGTGTACTTACAAGTTACAACACACTGTTGTACTGGCGAACTGCATTGAATACTGGTAGATTTAACCAGTATGCCGTGCAGTTTACCAGTACAGTATGCATGCACTACAATGACATGTATGAAGGAAAGGGAGACGTATGTCTGAGGTAGCTAGTAGATACATTGTATCTACTAGCTACCTCAGGTATGCGTCCCCCTTTCCTTTATACAGGAATATCCCGGTCTTTAGCTCGGCTCTCACTGTCTCAGATAATTGCTCACGCACACCATGTAGATCTACATGTGTATGTTCCTGCAAGGCTACAGCAGGTGCATGGCTATGGCCGAACGAAGGAAGGTTCTGGTCTTCTCGACCACCGATAACATAGTCATCGGTATGACAACACTAGGATGACCGCAGAACAAACAAGAGCTAAACAGGCTGTATCTTTAAGAGTACGTGTACTGTCCAGCGATGCATGCATGCAAGAGAGAGAGAGAGAGAGTGATGGATTGCTGTTTCAACAGTTTTTTTGTTAGGAAGGGACAGGAAGAGACTAGGAATGCAGCCTGGCACGGGGATTCGGATTTCACACTTGAGTTAGTTCACTCGGTATTGTGACTTGGCTAAGTCAGAACCGAAGTAGCAGATGATGCAATCACCGCTTATGGTCATAACACATTGTTAGTCGTTCGCACTGCGTTGACAGCAGCCAAGAAGTAACCTTCAGGCTTCACATTCTGCATAATCGCGGTGGCACTTGTTGTTTGTCACGGGGAAATTCTCTCAGATGAAGTACAACGAGTTGTGTCGATCTACTCGTATTGTTCGCACCCTGGTCCGTCCCATATACAGTGATTCTGATTCCAGGTTTGTACACGTTCATTGTACTGTACTAGTCCATCACAGATGCTGATTGCCATGGTCAACGGCCGCTAGTCAAGCCAGTACAGGTATGGGAACAGTGGGAGGTAAAAGTGAATAGCGATTCTACAACCCCTGATCCTTCAACTCTCGGGTCGTGGATTCGTGTTTTCAAAAGAATGATTCTCGGCGATTTCCGCAGTTCCAGCTGCTCGGCATGGCAGAGCTCGTGACTCATCAACCCACTGAGAACCGTGCAGTTTGAACATAAACAGTCAGCTATTCCCGATGCGCTTTCTCGCACAGAGCATGCACTGTAGACCCAACTCTCTACTCGACTTGCCCCTGGGGCATTGATCTCGAACAATGCACTTTGTACTTTCTGAACCAGAGCTGGAACCCACGCACGTAGACCTACACTCACGCTACAGTGTGAACTGTCCTGTGGTGTAGTGTAGATCTACCGGTCGAAGTGCAAATATCTGTATGTACATGTGCGCGTGCATCCGATCCGTCTTCGCGCGCCGAGAATGCGAGATGTTGGACAAGCGCGTGATATTACAATCGTGTAGCAAATTGTTCCCGTGAGCGAGGCCTAGTGTTCCACTTTGTATGCGAGAGAGGCTTGCAAGAAGAGAATGTGTATTGATCACTTGAAAGAGCGAGTACCGCCACAAAGGGTCATGTCATCACAAGTCCTCTCTGGCAAACAGGGGCCATTTATATCTAGTTGCGACACGAAACCAACCACTATCTTGAAGTCAACTTCAACCGACAAAGTTTGGAAAAGACAACGGTGAACAGAGCCCTGTATATCGATTGTTTATGCTGGTGGCTTCATTTTGGTTTTTGCTATTTGGATCAACCTCATCTTTCCACCGTGGGTAGTGTGATCAACAAAGGAACTCAGAGACGCCAGGGAAATCAAGTCAAGCCGAGAATGGCTTCCTCTCTCCACACATCCAGCCATCTTCAGGGATGCAGCGCTCTCATCCAGGCATCCACAAGAATTCTGGTTGTATGTTTCCTGATGCTTCCGCTACTACAGACTGGCACGGTGTCCCAATCGCTGTTTTTCAGGTAAGCTGCAAACATTTCTCATAGATTTCCTCTTCTAGCTCCTGCAGTGGTGTCACGCTAATCATAATCATAAAATTAATGCAATCATGTTAGTCTCTACTGAAATATTCTGCTCTCTAGTGGAATGTTTGATTGAGAAACTGTCAATTCCTGCGCGCAGCAGGTGAAGGGTGGCGTGGCTAACCACGTTTGTTACAATCCATGTAGAGTTGTTCTGGACCGCCCGTAGAGCACTTGCCAAACTGCATGTATCATGCAGGGAAGCTGTGTTAGTTTGGGCAAGCCTCAAGGAAATGTCAGAACGTGATCATGTCAGTTTGAATGGTAATGACTCATGAGTGGTGATCCACAGGGGTGGCAGTGTTGGCAATGGAAGATATGGGAGGGGACCACCATCATCCCATCCATCCTTCAGAAGGAAAGAAGGTTTCAAGCTACTGTCAATCATATTTCACCAGGGCCAATTCAAAGGAGTTTACATAGAAAAGGCATTTTCATCATTGCAAGATGGAGGAGGAGTACATGTACACTTAGATTCCACAAAACTGATATAATAATCTTTATTTCAGGATTACCCAAAGGCTAACGCCTATCTGGGGGATCTCCTATTTGTGTATGTACTAGTAACATAGTTAAGGATGCGAGAGAAAGTGCGCAAAGTGAGTGTGAAATGTTGGTTTGAAACAGGAATACTAAGAAACACAAGGAAAGAAAGTAAGACAGAAAAGAAAAGAACAAGCATGTAAATCAATGATTGCACATCAAAGGTGTACCAGTGCAGTCCAACTGATACTGATATACATGTACATGCATAGAATGTGAGCTTTGCACTGAACTCATAGTTCTAAATCCTCAGGCAGCATACAGGTAGCCACAGGGGAACGTTGACAGAACAGTGCTCCTGCCTGAGCATTGTTGGCAGTGCCTGCGGGCAAAATGTGCTATTGTGAAAGTACTACACATTGCCATAGGGCAGAAGATAATGTATGGCAAAACTATAACCGTCATAGCCATTGCTCATTGGGTATTTCTGATCGCCGATCTGATCTGAACATGTTAACAAGGGAGACTGAGTTGGATTGATTGCGGGGAAACAAAGCCAATTGTCATGTACTGTAGAACACATTGCCGGGTCAACTCTGGGTCTGGGTTGGAGGCAGGCACACTGAGTTCAGTGTTAGTCATGGAGCTGTGCACATTTTGTCTTCAGCTCCATTCAAGAAAGGCTTAGGAGACAATTACTTGGTTGTGCACTGCAAAGTAAAGTAAAGTTTGCACATCCGCGTTTCCACCGGCTATTCAGCTGTGTTGAGTGACACAACCAGCTTTAATAGGTAGTTTTGCTTGTGCGTGGCTACCACTATGCCTGATTATACAAAGGCCATAATGCGAAAGAGGGATATATGTGGCACAGGCTACTGTTATCAATATACAGTTAAGAGGAAGCCGACAAAACCGTAATAAGTTTCTTCGCCGTCCACCGATTATGGTTTCGATCAGCTTCCTGTGTATCCATACATTAAAGCTCCAAATCTCTGACACAGACACAGATAAATACTTGCAGTCTGAAAACCAAGTCACAGCAAGGAAGTTCTTCTTTACCCGGGCAATCATGGTGCACTGGGGAAGGAAAGATGCAAGACACTCACTTAGTGGAGGAAACATTTCAGTTATCATGCAGCTGGGTTTGCTCTTGTCAAGTTAGCATGATGTTGTTATTTAGATCCAGTGCCAGGCTTCACTGAGTCTTGCATCACTGATGTCGTAGTTATGGACTGCGGCCAGGGGCTGCAATGATGGACAATGGAACACCATTGAAAAGCTACTGCATACAATGTATTGGGCTGGTGATCATGACCTTGTCCTTGTATTAAAGCAGGCACAGGGTGCTGCTATTGAATGAGAGCCAGGTTCTGGCAACTACAAGCATGTACAATGTGAATACATGTAGGTACAGAATGGTGCTGCATCAATGATTATGCCTGTGTTGAATCAGTGTATTACTATTAGCAATATTTACTTTTGAATAGATATGGCACACCAGAGAACGTAGAAGCCGGGCTGCATAGGACAGTGACCAGACAGTGGGAAATTCCAGTAGGACCCCCTTGCAACCTGTACGCTCTCATCACTCCATTGACATTGAACATGGTTGCAAATTGAAACTGGCTTGAGGCCATGATGGCACAAAGGATCATCATGTCCATCTTGCTCAACGACATGGCTTCAATTGAATTTCAAAACAAAACAGCCGGCAAGCCACAGCAGGTGATCATCACTGCTAATTAATTTGTCTATCAAGAGCCACTTCTTCCTGAAGTTGCACTGTAGATGTACGGCAGCTGCACGTCATTTGAAAAGGGAATGCTTCACAGTTGTCCGGGTCAGGTCCAGTGCTCCGTCAGTCCATGGGGAGGAGGGGGGGGGGGGGGGGGGCAAAAAGATCACCCATCAAGCATTCCCTTTTTCCAGTGTACATGTAGTAGCGATCATGGTCCAAGGTATCCACCAATACCGGGCCAAGGTGAAGGGAGCATCAGCTTCATGCCTCAGTGGCGCATGCTGAACTGCTGCATGCAAATTCGCCTGGGATTACAGCTGCTGGCCATAACCACATTGTATTAACTGACAACAGCATGCTCAATGCCTGCAGGGATCAATATTCCTTATACAGACAAATAACTCTCTTGACGCTTTTGTTTTGCAGTAGCATTAACTTTAAATACATGGATGCATACTGAAGTGATAGTTGCAACGTTGGCAATTCCGTGAGTGCACTGCATGCATGCAGTGACTGCACTTGAGTATACTATTCACAGCAGTGCAGCACGTACTGTGACGCAGTCTCTTGTACAATGGCTTTGTCCCACGTGATGGAAGAGTTCTTGCACAGCAAGTACACAACGCAACACGTTTTATGCTAATCAAAGTTAGTGCATTCCATACACTCTCACACTCAAGATGTATGATGGTCACGAGTACAGGGCATTGTGCCTGCCTGGATGCAATGGTAATGGAGTGGCCGTGGCATATTTACGTATTTGGTGTCCGCCGCGGCTAGCCTCAAGCTCCCCACTCCTACCTGTCACCACGTCCAACAGCGCCATATAGGCATATGCATACATGACTAAGTTTTGCAAGCAGTGCAGTGGTCTCCTCTGGTCGTGCCATGAAGGAAACTCAGTACAGATGAGGGGACTCAGGGAAGATCGAAGAAGAGGATCGTGAGCAGAGCTGCTCCGTGGGAGGTAATCAACACCACAATGTCAGTGGTAGCGAGCGACAGAACAACAGCTTAGTTACGTATGCCTTGGTCATGATGAGATGATAGTGTTGTGTAATTCACCGCACTGAGTGCCCAGAGATGTCCAGACACGTCCAGACACCGGACCAGAGTGCATGCGACGCGCAGGTGTTCATTGCTCAAGTCTGTACCGAAGTATTCAGATAATGTCATAGTATTTATCCCTCTTCTGCTGGTATTGCCACGTATATGATGACTGCACTCAGTGCCATTATGCTAAATACTAGAATAGTCTGCGGCAGAACGTACTGTACCGGTGGTATAGGAAGTAGGAGCACATTGCATAGCAACAATGCCAATGGCAATGGTTCAAGTGCACCGCGGCATTGCGGCTTCTTCCACTTCTTTGTTATGGCAACATCTTTTCACTCTACCGTCCACGCATTCTCTCACAATTAGTTACCAGATTGTGTTTGAAGTTCTAGTACACCACTGTCACACAGAGTCAGTGTACTAGTGGTGGGCAATCTCGCAGTGTACCGCTTGAGCACCTACCAGTTACAGTACATGGATATGAAATAAGCTGCTTACCAGTCAGGCGCCATGACACTGGCAACAGACTCTGCGGCTCCTCTGGCTGCGGTCGGAAGACTTGAATAGACACGCTCCAAACGTACAGGTAGTGAACAATCATGGTGATCCGACTCCAACAACGATGATATTATTATGGTGGTGGTGGTGGTTCGGAAAACATCTACTGGCAGCTGCGAATAAAGTTCTCAAGTTCTCATCTCCGGACTGTTTTGTTGAGTAGGAGTGTGGTACAAGTGAAGTGTCACTTTGTCAGCCGCAGTATACCATGCTTATGATACTCCCAGGCTATAGTTATGTAGATCTTGACATCACACTACAATTGTACAGCCGAACATGCATACAGCCATGTAAATCCACCCATGCCGAGTTCCATACACGCAATAGGGTGCAAAGTGAAACGTGCACGATTTTCTCGAGGGTCTCCCAAACTCGGAGCCCACTCTTGGGGCATAAAGGGAGACCATGGGGACCTTCGTGATTGATTCATTCTGTCACACTACCTGCTCACGACATTCCACTTTGTCGGAGAAGATGCCAGAAACGAGATACGCGAGTTGTGTTCCGAACGTGTAGGACTTCTTAGGACACACGTTCGTCCGATATGTCTGTTTCTGGCGTGTATTGATGACCCAGAACAAGATTGCGATTGAGATAAAAGCAGAGGTTTGATGTATTCGATATCACTTGGAGTGGATCTTGTGTAGTGGTGTCTGTTGACCTAGCGAAACAATGTGCACCGTCGAGTCTTACATGTGTAGAATCTACGTGTGAAGTGTCAGTCTTGGATCAAGTGTTATGTTCCCTGACAATCTCCATCACCAGCTCTTAGTCTTAGTACTTCGAAGTGCATGATTGTACTATTGTTGCCCAAGAATGTAGAAGGTCCCTGTAATTTTGGGTGACCATTATATTCCCCATATGCATACGCAATCACGGTGAAAAGAAGTTGCGGATACGTGCAGACTTCTACCAGTATAGCCCATCTACTCTTGATGAACGGAACATGTAGTGGTACATGTATCAGTCATTTTGACGCCATTGAATACTAGTAACGGATAGAAACATACCGGTATGGCCTTTCCCCATGACTTGGCCACGCTTTTACATAGCATCCTGGACCTGCCGCGTTTCAGTCTGTGTCTGTGTCTGTCACAACAGATCTTTGCTGATGCTTGCTCGCTCGCTCCTATCCGCCATAAGCACAGTTTCCTCGGCAGAATCGGTGTAAAGTGTAGTTGTAGGTCGTGGATTTGCGTTCTTCTTTGCAATTGCTTCTAGCAGCGTTAAATGGTAATGTACCACTTTACAAGTGGTGTGTCTACAGTGGCTTTCTTTCGAAGATTCTGAAGCAGTTTTTTTAAACGTGCATGGACAGTTGGTGCACGTTCTGCTTCGAATGTTCCGGAAATCTTCACAGCTCTTTCAAATGCCGATCGAGTCGACAGGGTCTTCCATTGTTACTGGAAAATCCCATGTCGTGAGTTTCGACTCGCGTGTTTTGTCACGTTTCCATACAATAATCAATCGAGAGCTGGCCTCTCGAGTGAGTGATCACCAGTGATCTCCCGCGGGGCCAGTATGCACAGCAGGTGCTCCAGGAGTCTTCCGCTCCCGTTGCAAGACGCTACAATGCGTTAAATACATGACCCACCGAGATGATGTAGATCCACAAGTAGCTAGCTGGACATGAGTAGCTGTACCTGTACTGCAATGTAGATCTACATGACATACATTGTACTTGTGCAAGTAGCAGTGAGCCCGTGAATTAACACTGATGATGTGGATATCGGTAGGTTGGTTAAATCGACATACAGTATTGTATAGAGGAATTTATCAAGTTGCTATCCAGCCAGAGTAGCCGTGCATTGCTAAGTGAGGTTACAGCATAACAAGCTATTTATATAATAACTATGTTGTCATAGGGTATGAAACTGTAAACCTTGATCACATTAGTCATTATTACCAAATTATTGTCACCACTTGTTGAAGGAATCAACAAGAGGTTTTGGAAGGACATAGGTTATCAAATCAAAACTTCGGAAAAGGTGGGAGGAGTACTGCAAGTTCTCCTTGTTCTTGGCTTGCCAGGGACGTTAGGTCGTAAGCCAAGTCTCCCTACCAGTGCCAGGATGCCTTGAGCTCAGTGTAGAAGGCTTAGTTCCTGTACCATAGCTGTAGGCATTACAAGAGCGGCAAGAGTCCCATTCAGATCGGAGTCTGATCATGTAGCCACGATTAGTTGTCTCTAATGACAGTGACAGGAGCACACACGATTCCCTGAACCACAAAGCATGCCCCGCATGCTATACAGTACTGAGTATACGTCCCAGCTTTCCTGGTTGCTGCACAACCACTGTTTATCATATATATTAGTTAGTCATGGACAAGCACACAAGTGGTGTGTAGGAGCTGAAGACTAGTATTGCCAGTATTGGCAGTCATTGCGGCATGTCCAACGCAATGTCTCGGCATGCACAGGTCAACATTGTACTCGCCTCTCTGGAGTGTTCTCTCCCGACTGTCAGAGTACAAGCAATGGTTCCAATACACTTTAGCTGTTCACATTCCAGTTTTGAGTGGATTTTCCTTCGCGGTGTCCGGATGGGAAATCGAGTTGAACTGGACAGGTGCTAATGTGTGTTGCACCAGTGCTGCTACTACTGTACTAAGTCTTATCCTGCACTATCTGCATGACTGTACTCCTTGTCACGTGACCTACTTCCTTTAAACTCTGTGTTCCAACATGACCCAAAGCATTAATTTTGTGTTGTTTGTGTGCTTTTGTGGTGCGTGCAGTTTGCCTTTTCACACTGCATCTGGACTTGCATCAAGGAGTCAGCATGCCTCACGTATCCTCTCCCTCTCCATGTCCTCATCCATCAAGAAGGACATCACCAAAGAAACGTGAGTGCATGACAATGTACATGTGTACATGCTTGTGCATGTACTGGCAGTCAATACTGACACAGCATAAGGTCACCCATATCATGGGAATGCATTGACGTATCATGTTCTTGATTTCATCAATGAGCAACTAAGTCTTCAAGTTACAGACAAGGACACACTGGTGCTTGTGATCGCAACATGCCATCTGGGTATGGCCTCCTCAATACATGGAGTTATGACATTACACCCCCCCCCCCCCCCCACACACACACACCTCACACCTCAGACCTGCCCCCCCCCCCCCCACACACACCTCTGACCTGCCCATCGCAGAAGCAATGGTAGAGAACAGCTATGTTAGACATAGCACACTTAGACCGACACATACACACATACACACACACACACATACACATGTACACACACACACACACACTGTGTGTATGAAGGGGGGGGGGGGGGGAGTATGAGGACATTGTGTGTGTATACTCTGAGTACAATTATTTGTCACAGACTATGTATACCCCCTATGTTAACTAGTAAATCTTAATGTACTGAGATAAGTCTATGCAGTCAATTCACAATTTAATTTCTCTGCGTGCTGCCCACAGATGTCGACAGGTTGTTGGCCTAACTTCAAAGCAGCGGAGGTGGTGCAGGAAGAACTACGAGCTTCTGGCCGCCATTGGAGATGGCGCACGGCTGGGTCTTGCCGAGTGCCAGCGACGCTTTGAGAAACGCCGCTGGAGCTGCCCCATAGCGCAGCCGTCCATCTTCTCCAAGATCCTGGAAGCAGGTATGTGCCCCAGCGCTATGACCGACTGCCTCTATGCTGACACTGCTGTCACGGCATTTGCTGCCCACATGTACACATACATGCACTGCTGCTTGAGTCTGTCGTCCCGACACCTCACATGGTCTGAATGTCTGATCCCTAGCATTATGACTGTAAGGATTCAAACGACACACATGTACATGTATATGCTGGTCATTTGGCATTGATCCTTAGAAACAGCTTCACATATTGGAGAATGCCTCACATAAATCATGTACAAGTATGCTATCGTGTTGACTTCTTGGAGGAGCTGAGCCTCAAGTCCTAATCTAGTATGTGTTTTTGTTTTGTTTCAACTGCTTGTCGATTACAGCTAGCAAAGAGACGGCCTACGTGCATTCCATTCAGTCAGCGGGCATTACACTGGCCATTGCGCGCTCGTGCAGTCGCGGTGAGGCGAGCACCCTCTGCGGGTGCGCCACTGGTAGTGAACTGGGAAATGTGAGTAGTGCCGCACACGCTTCATGTTAATGGAAAATTGGTGGTAATAACTCAGGGCTGCACACTGCTGGTGATGGTACATGTACCTTTCTCAATCAGCGCCACTGCAGCCCTTGTGTGTGTGTGTGTGTGTGTGTGTGTGTGTGTGTGTGTGCGTGTGTGTGTGTGTTTGTGTGTGTTTGTGTGTGTGTGTGTGTGTGTAAAACTGCCTCGGTGGGTGTAAGTTAGTAATGTTCAATTTTTCATGCAACTTTGTTTGTGTTGTGCAACCTTGTCTCTGACTGATGTTGACAGCCTGAGGGAAACTGGACCTGGGCATCATGCAGTGATAACATTGCCGATGGCATCCGCTTCAGTCGCGAGTTTCTGAACGGTCGTGAGGACGGAAGAAGCCCCTCATCTCTGATGTCCATTCACGATACGGAGGCAGGCAGGAAGGTCAGTTCATGGTTGTTTTGAGATGATTACGCATGTCCACGGGATTTGTATTGTTGCCTCAGCAGGAAGCATGCATTGGGAGAAAGTGACAGTGGAGGGTGTTATTAACTTGGTTCAGGCATGAGGTATTGTCCTTGCTCTGAAGTCTAAAGTGTATCTGTAACAGTGCAGGGCATAGCTGCCTATCCGGCTAATCAAGCCAGCCCTCTCTTATTTCGCCCATGCGTGTTCTGATGTCGGGGAAAGGCGGGCGGAGTGTGTAACGTTGACAACGACAGGCCTATGTGCTGACCACTGTAGCCGGACCATCCAGTGTGGATGTGTGCCAGGGTCGGACCGGTTCTACATTGAGGAGGGAACTGTCCATGTGGTATGCACTCCTTCTACTTCTAGGTGTATACGCAGCACTTTTAAGTGAGGCACATGATAGGACAATGGATCACCCCCCCCCCCCCCACCCCCCATGCACGAGGTGTTCTGATTTGTGTAGCCATTGAGCATTGCCGGTCTCGGTGCTATTTGCTACTTTAAAAATAAGTTTAGCATCAATGGCGGCTTGTTGTTAATGTACGAGTAGAGGGTGAAAGCTTGAACGAATGTCCTCGGTTTGTTTGACTCCGGCTACAGATTGTCAGGTCGAGCATGCTGCGCGTGTGCAAGTGCCACGGTCTGACGGGTACGTGCGCCCACCGCACGTGTTGGTATAGCCTGCCCAAGATACATGTGGTTGGAACATCGCTGCTGGACAAATACGACAAGTCGATAAAGGCAAGTTAGAATAGTGATACAGAATACAAAACTCGTATACTTGTACTATCTGATTGTAATATTTTGATAACTTTAGCCTACGGTGATGGAGGGCATGCAACGTTTCCCTCAGGGTGATCAATGTCCAGATGCATGTTATAAAGCGACGCGTGTGCTTGATCTAGCCATCACAAGTAGTGAAAGGTCCAGATCATAAAGCACATTAGCTGCATGCATCATGTTATCCGTATGCTTGAGAGTGGCGGCTTCCCTGCGGGCGCGGAAAGTTCATTCTGACTCACTTTGTTTGTACGCGGGAGAATGAATCATTATCGATGATTTCAGTTTCCTTGTTATTTATTGTCATGTAGGTAATCCCTCGTGCTGATCGACGGAAACTTGTTCCGCTGAGAGCCACCAGCAAGCGACCGAAAGACGACGACCTCATTCACCTTCAAGACTCCCCTGATTATTGTACATCGAACAGCACCGTTGGATCTCTGGGAACACTGGGAAGAAAGTGCTCACCAAAAGGTACATCATCATCATGCTCAGCATGGCATCATAGCACAATCAGCGTGCATTTCTGTTTCCACCGTATATTAAACAGTTACTAGTACTTGCTTTGAAGAAAAATACAGCCGGTGTGACTGGAGTCTACTGTGAACTGTGGAGCTTAGCTCAGTGCCGTACATGTTAGCTCAGTGTACATGTTGAAACATGTGACCAAAGGCAACTTGTGACACAGTTCTTGGACCATGTCGGCATGGGATCGATATCACTGACCAGTATTGCTGTACTATTATTTACCAAACTGAAATATTGTGTTCCCACGGCCTTAACACCTGCTTCTGACTGCCGGTGTTTTGTTTTTTGCAGAGGGTGCAGAGAACAATTGCGACAAAATGTGCTGCGGCAGAGGCTACAATGTGCGCCGGCGCATCAACAACGAGAAGTGCAGCTGCCGCTTCGAATGGTGCTGCCGCGTGAAGTGCAAGCGCTGCCGCGTTGCCAAGCAGTCCTTCACATGCATGTAGCGTACGGATGATATCATCGACTCCACTACCCGCGTGTTCCTCCCTGCGCTGCATGCACCCAGCCAGTATCGGTGAACCTACTGAGACGCCGACCAGCACTGTGGCTACTATGTATCCACCATGCTACCCGTGACACTGTGGCTACTATGTATCCACCATGCTACCCGTGACACTGTGGCTACTATGTATCCACCATGCTACCTGTGACACTGTGGCTACTGTGTATCCACCATGCTACCCGTGACACTATATCACCCCAACGTTAGCTTGCACAGTGGAGCCAATCGGCCTGTACTCATACATCCATGGACATTGAGTTATTTATAGAAGTTTATGCTAAGGCACTGAGCAGTATTTTCTTGATTGACTGAAAGTAAGTAAGCTGTGAGCAAACCCCTTGAGATCTCCATTTACCCCTGCCTCACCAATGCCTCGGAAGACAAGTTATAAACGAGGCTAGCAAGTACCATCGCAGATATGTGTGCCTCTCTACACGTACCCTTGTCTATTGTTAGTCAGTTGTTTCCATGAGTTATGCACATACAGCTACAATACGGTGTACATTATATACCCTGGGCCCGTTGCCGCCAAGCGATAGACAAAGGCATGTGAGGTGCATCTCGCCTTTTTGTGACTATTGTCGTTATATTTTTGTAGCATTGCACAGTAAAGCTTATTTTTATGATGATGCTTGTGCAACTGGCAAGTCTTTTCCAGTCTATTTGCGCATATGGCTGGTTAGTGCCATGATTCAGTGTGATGGCCGGGAAGAGTAGAAAAATGCAAAAGAGTGCGATGAGGTCGCTAGGTCTGTTGATAGCTGGCAAGGTCTCCGAAATCCTGCTACATGTACTGGCAAGAGTCCATAAACATGTTTATGCACTCTTGGTACTAGTATCACCCTGCAGTCGCTCTCCGGCAGCGCCGATGACATTGTGTGCTGGATTCCGTAAAGCCGCAATCCGATTCCGTCTTCTACAGCAGAGTCGGAGTATGGCATTTCTCATACACTGGTTCCCATTTATTGCTCAAGAAAAATTCCAATCACTGTGACGTCACAGGGCGGTCGTTACATGCAGGCACCACCGGCAGGCACCACCAGCATTTTTACTTGTAGGTGGTGCCCCCCCCCCCCCCTACCGGTGGGGTCACTGAGTTGCCTTGGTTACTGTTGATGTTATGATGGTGATAACCAGTGTGAGTGTACTAGTACCTGAAGTACTTTAAACTGCCTAGGAATATTCGCGACGGATTAATGTTCGCTATTTTCGCGAGAAGAGTGTAACCTGAATATTAGGCAGCGTGAAATCAAGCCTTAACAGTAGGTGTATGTAGGTGGCCCCGGTGCTTCGCAAGCTTTTGCCATCGCAAACTTGCCGGCTCTAAGAAATTGCGAAAATTTAGTGACGCGAATATTGGGCGGTTCACAGTACTAGTACTAGTAGTCATGTATAGCAGGGAGTCGGTATTTTATGGCTCCCTGCTATATGACACAGTGTACTCTGTAGGTACACATGGCAGCTGCACGTGCAACGGGTTTGGGTGATTGATAAGACGAGTAAACTTCAGTAAAGTCAGACTACAGAACGGTGTGACTAGATTGTGAGAAGACGAAGAAGGAAAGGGCGGAGGCTTTTATAGGTTGCAGGCAGGCATACTTGTCTATATTCTAGATGGAGTGCAATACTGCCAATAGCGAATGTTGTAGAGGTCAGTAGAAGAGCAGGCGTGGATGGCTGCTCTTCTTACAGCATTGCTGGAACAGCGGGATGCAATTGTTGCTATGCGTGAGATGGTGAAGAAGAAGGTCTGGCGGTGACAGCTATGCGGAGGAATGGAGTCCAAACATAGAAAGCTCATTCTCTGATTGCACGTCTGATTTGCAAAAGCGTGCGGGAGAGGAGAGTGGGAGCTGTGTCAAGAATGCTGCGCATGCAATGCGTGGTAGACTACATGCGCATATGCGAAGGTCATGCGTTTAGGCTGAAGAGGCGCCGGCAATCAACGTCAGGTTACGTGTTACTACTACTAGTGAAGGGGAAGAGCTGCTACAACTAGTAGGGGGTCGTAAACTTTCACGACTCCCTGGTGATATCTGATAACCCAGCTAGGCCAGGTCATATTCAATACTATACATTTGATTACTTTTCATGGAGGTACAAACCTTCACTCTCCCGTCTTTGATCCATGCATTCTAATGTGTTCAGAGTGTCATTAATTGACGACTCTCTGAGTGTGATCCGTTGAGACTTGCGAGTGGTTTTAAAATATTACTAGTGCCAGTATGACAGGTGAGAAGTCACAGTTGATTGTTGTTGTTGTAGAAGTTTAAAATTAATACCGTCGCACCACAAACAGGCGGTTTCGCCTCCTTTGATCCATGTGGACGACAGAGGGAATGAGAGAGAGAGATGGGGGGGGGGGCAGAAATACGGAGAGAGGAGTTGGTTGCTAGCATACTCTCCACACCGGAGCTCGCGCTTTTCCGCCGACTTGACTTGACACTTGACTGACACACGACTGCCATCCGGAAGTCGAAGTCGTTACCATTACCTCGTAGAATCTCTCCTGTTGTGCCCAGCGCGGGCTTGCGACTCGCTGGTTGGAGGTAGTAGACTCTACCGGTAGTAGTAACAGGGTTGCGAGTGACCCTGGACTGGTGACCGAGGGCGAGAGTCCTCACTGCCTGTTCTACCGGTACCTGAGTATGAGCAAGAGTAGAGGGGACGGTTTCAAATAGGACACCGGTTGCAAACCGGAACGGACTCAATATTCACTTTCTCTCTTGGTATTTTGATTAGAAAACATATGTCACAGTGAGACTACGATGTGTTATACTCCGAGCCAAAATGTCATGGCTCTGCGATGACCAGAAGCGCCATATCAAGCAGGTGAATTTTTGACGTGTTGCTTCGCACTGCGACTTGAGTTTTACGACTTTCGAAAAATCAACTTCTTGTCGCACTGAGGTAAACAGCGGCTCGCCTCTCGCCAATAAAGCACCGCATACCAATCAAAACTAATGGAAGCACACACAAGGCTTATTGTTACTCTGTACTGGCCGTCGTGGAGCGATAGCAATTACCTAATTTCAGACCCAGAGTGAATTTGACGTGCACTCTAAAACGTGTCCGGTTTGGAGCCACCTCTGATTTGAACTTTTTTGAAGCGAAAAATTGGGCAACTTGGAGGCAATGGGTCAACACAACGGAGTGGCTCAGTTCGATTGACTCTGGCCCCAGAGCAAACTTCAACATGCCAGTTTCCTTCCACAAACATATTTCGAGTGAAAAATCAACGCTGATGATCGGTTTGGGTCTATACAAATTTGGCTATCAAAACGTCCCGGTATCGAGCCGTCTCCTCTACATGAAAACCGGTTTTCATGTAGATCTACTCTTGGTATGAGCGACACTGTACTGACTCACGGAGTCACGCTGCTCTCCGCGATCCGGTGTTCACGAGGTGTTGTCGCGCTGGAAACGGAGCGTTTCTGATAGTTTGTATCCCTGGTGATGGTTTGGCATGGAGAGAACTACAAAAGCAAGAGTACATGAAAACCGGTTTTCATGTACTCTTGATAAAATTAAAAGCTATGCTCTTCAGACACAATCTTCCTCGGCCTGCTCAAGCTCGACTGATGAGGGGTGAATAATTCTCCGAAACACTGTGCATTATCTCCTTAGCGGTGCATTCTTGCAGGTTTGCCGAGTCGAAGGTTCGATAGACTTCTCGTGTGCTCTGGATGGCAGTTTTGAGTCAGTCAAGTGTCAAGTCAAGTCGGCGGAAAAGCGCGAGCTCCGGTGTGGGGAGCAACTCACTTTCCTAAAAACAATTATCCCCGAAGTCGCTACCGCTAGCTCGTAGTATGACAAGTGAGTACACATTTTACCTGCCATTGGAATTGTGTAAAAAATGGAGTTGTGTTTACATTATACAACTCCCTGAACCAGCCTTTTTACGTTCAAAGCAAACACAATGAATATAAATACGATACAAAACTGGTGAAGAAACTTGGGACATAATACTTGAAGTTCATCTATATTAAATGATTTTCAAATGCAAACCAAATGATCGTGACTTCAACAAGGCTGTATTCGATTGTGGCACCTGAATTAGGCTTTCCCCAAATCGATCGGCTGAAAATTCTACCAAATTTTGTTGGAAAGTGCGTTTACGAAGGAATGATGTTGCTGCAATCATGACCGTAGGCTTTACCCAAAAATTCACTGAAAACGTTAGCTTTTCGCCGATTTTGGAGGGTTCTTTTGAGAATCGCCGAAAGTCTACCGAATGTTGTTGCAAAGAAAATTCAGACAGATTAGAGTATCGCGGTTTACGTTTTTCGAGCTCCATGTGGTGAGCATTTGTTACTTAGTAATAATTAGTATAGCCTGTCCCCGGGGAAAATTGCGGAAAAAAATCGCAAAAAACGCGGGGAAAAACGCGGCATAATATGGCATAATTTGCGGTGAATTTGCGGTAAATATGCGGTGAATGCGGCAATTTTCAGTGAGTGTGTAGTGAAATCAATCAGTTACAAGTCTCTGGTGTAATCACTCGTCATATTTGAGTAAAAAGCCGCCACGATGAGACGTTGCTGACCGAACAGTGCACTGTGTGTACGTGTAGTGGAACAAAAATGTTCAAAAAACGCTGGAAAATCGCGGAAAAAGCGGTCTTTTAAAAATCGCAAAAAAACGCGGAAAAAAACGCGGCCGCGGAATCGCAATTTTCCCCGGGGACAGTATAGCCTACGAATGGCTTCGGAACAAGTAGATTTCAGCTCTCTTACGAATGAGGATCTAAAGGAGCTGGCCCGGTGAAACAATCTGCAATGGATCGGGCAAAGTAGACCCGAAATCGTGCGAGAAATCAAAAGTCGGTTATCTGCCGCGAGTAGCAATGTGATGGAAACAAGGGACCTACATAAATCAACCAGTGCTATTTCCCTTTTAGCTATTCTTGTGGACACGGTGAAGGTGCTGACTAACCAGGTAGAGGAACTGAAGGAAGTGGTGCAGGGCCTGCTGGAGAGCCAGGTCAGCCGGGTCACGCGCCCGGCTGGGGAACTGCACGACCTGGCTGAACAGATAACAGCGGGTCCAGTCTGACCCGGCTGAAAAATGTCTCAAACTGACAATGGATTCCTAAAATACCGGTATATTACGACTCGCGGACCCATCTGTTGCAAATCTAGCGCAACTGTACACACTAGTACAGTCTACAAGCGACAGAAACTCGGCTAGGGTCAACTGGGGTCAACTGGTTCGAGCGCGATCTGGCCAGCGGCGAGCAGGAAGTCAGGACATTCAAAGTCGATGGGGCAGGCAGTCAAAAGCGTAACTATGTTACGTTGACACAGTTGCAAGTTTTCAGCCGACTGGTGATTTGGACGATGGAGCACGCAGCGAAGAGAAAAAGAACTCACGCTTTGTCGTTTACCTTCTACGTTTGCGGACTTCGATAGTTCGCCTTGTTCTCTAAAATTTCCGATTTCCGGTAATAAATTCGCCTTTCTGTTTTCCTGCGTTTTGAGCAGGCTTTTTGGTTGTTTTTTTGCCGGATGATCTGACCCGGCTTGACCCGGCTGGCCTGCATGCGCCAGGTACACTCTGACCGGGCTGTGTTGAATGTCTACAGCAGGCCCTGGTGGTGGTGAGTCAAGCGAAGGCAAAGAAGTCCGCCATTGAATCCCTTGAGAAGAAGGTTGCTGTTTTG